GAATGAATGAATCTGTACTAGTGAAATGGTCCAGTGCATTGTAGTGGGGACGGGCTGGAGAATGGGCATTGTTATCTTTGTGTAAAGAACATTCTCTCTTTGCATTTCTCTTTTTCCTTTTTTGCCCCCTTATTGTTTAGACAAGATCTCAGCTGGAACTCATGCCAATCCTCCTGCCTCAGTCTTCCGAGTGCTAGGATTACAGGCATGGTTACCACGCCCAGCTTAGTATAAAAGATTTTTTTTTTACCTTAATTTCCTTACCTGTACTATATAAGCAAGAAGGGAAACTCCCTGAGAAAGTGGTGTGAGCCCCAAGCATCAACTTGAGGCCAGCTGGTGGCCCTGGTGTGTGTGTGTCCACCTTAGGCCACTGCCTGCATGGGCTGCCTCTTGTCAACTTATGAGTGTGTCTCTTATTACACAGGTTTGGGAGATGAACCAACAGAGAGCCAGAGAAATTGTTCACGGTCACCCGAGCCTGCAAATAGCCTGCCAAAAGCAAATCCAGCCTCCTCTGGGCCCTCTCCTTCCTGTCCCTAGTACCTAGGAAAAGTCCTCTGGCCTCACTGTGGTCCTGGCGGGACTTCCGGTTAAGTCTGTTTCTTCCTTGTGAGAAACTGTCAGGTTACACTGCTCTATCCACACGGGATCCCCATACAAAGGCCCCTTGGCCTCCACTCTGCCCTACTGTGGGCTCCGATCATCGCCGCTGTTCCAGTTTCTGTGACCCTTACCACGTAGAGCCTGAGACGCCACTGAAATAGGTCACACAGTCCAGGAGGCCCAACTTCTGAAGCGCCAATAGGTGGCCATAGAGTGAGATCATAGCCCGGACACCTCCTCCTTCAGCCATGATGCCCACAACAGGGACCTGGACCACACAGAGATGATGCAGACCAGCTCAACAAGAAGGGAATGAGCCGTCCTCTGCCTCACTCAGGGACCCAGCCTGTTTCCTGCCTCCAGGCAGCGGCCTTGCAGTTAGAGCCTGAGGGAGTTAGAGGTTTGAGGGACAGCCCTCAGCCCAGAGCCCCCACAGAGAACAGGAACCCCGCCCTCCCCAACAGTCAAACTCCATTCTTTGGAGGCCGAGAGGGCACAGGTCAGCACCAAATTTCTAGACCCACATCCCTGCTGCACCCCCAAACCTCATCTTCCTTCAAGTCTTGGTCCAGCTGCAGGGCCTGCTTCAGGGCGGCAGCCACCACCTGCTTCCTCCTGCCCAGGAAGGCCTGCTCCTCGGGACAGAGTCCATAGCCCAGCCGCACGGCCAGCTCCTTAGGGCTGAGATGGTGGAGGGTCCCAGGGTTAGGAGAAAACTGCATGGCTCACTCCTTGGGTCACCGAGCGAGCCCATGGCGAGCTTCTGAAAAAATCTCCCTCTCTACCTGCAGGAAGCATCCATTGCACAGCACCACCCCGCCCCTTGTCCCCACAGAGGCCGGCATCCTTACCAGTAGTCTGTCTTAAGCTGAAGCTTCACTTCTGGGCCCTGAAATCAAAGCAAGAGACTCTGTTCAGAGTATCCTAGACCCTACGGGAGACAGGTCTCTCTGGGGTGAGTGAGCACCTCCATTCCGTCCCTACTGGCACCTTCCCTCCAGCCGAGGCCTACTCACATTAGTAGCAGGAACGTCTACAGTCACCTCTTTCCCTGTGGTCAAGGACTTCAGGGGTACATTGAGGGGTACAGCTGAGGTGTGGGAGGTCCAGCCATTGTTTCCAGAGCTCTGAAGGGAAGCATTCATCCATTCATTAATTAATTCATTCATTCAACAAATTCTGAATGTCTAAACCGCAAACAGGACAGCCCTTCCCTGATAATACAAAACAAATTATAATTACAAACAATGATGGCTGAGACTACTTGCAAAGACACTGTTCTCACGAAATCGCACGTGTCAATTTGTGAAGAAATGGGCCATGCCTGGGAGTGGTGACGCACGCCTTTAATCCCAGCGCTTGGGAGGCAGAGGCAGGCGGATCTCTGAGTTTGAGGCCAGCCTGGTCTACAGAGTCAGTTCCAAACCAGCCATGCTACTAGAAGTAAGACTCTGTCTAAAAATAGTTTTCAAAGAAAAGAAATGGGTAATGAGCTGATGTCAGTAATGAAATGATGTCAGTAATGAAATGATGTCAGTACATCATAGTGTGATAGGGTAGGATATTGTCAACAAAGCGGGGTATGGGGATCTGTCTGTGATGGTCATGGAGGCCATCTCTGAAGAGGTGTTGTTTGAGCTAAGATGGGGAGGAGGAGAAGCCGGGGACGGAAGAGGACGAGGAGGTATTGGAGGGAGCCAGAAGACCCAATAAGCAGTTGACACGTTTGAAAAGCAAAAGGAGAGAAGGATGGAAGGAGCATCAAGAAGGACCTTGAGCAAAAGGAGACAGTGGGGGGTGGGCAAGGCCAGGCTGCACAGGCTGACTGCGTGGCCACAGACAGGTTTCATTCCACCAACACAGCCCTCTGATGGGGAAGTCGTCAGAGCACTAAAGGATTGACACCATGTAGCTGTCCTCCAAGCCCCTGGTGATGTTCCCGGTCTTCTGGGGATGGGGCCTAACTGAGAGAGGCTGGCAAGAACATGAAAGGCCTGGCTTCCCTAGGGGAAAGGGCAGGGAGCTAGTTAAAGGCCAAGGCTGATGGGAGAGCTGGAGAGCAGAGACTCACCCTCAGGCACCCATTCAGTGCTGTATCTTGGCCCCTCATGTAGTGGAAGCTGAAGGCAGAGGCTGTGTCCAGGGCAAATGTCTGTGTGTCCTCATATGACCCCTTCAGCACAAGCTCCAGCTCTAGTTTGTCCTGACCTAGGGAAGAGATGGAATAGGTGAGAAGAAGGGGAAAAAGAGCCCAGAACTCCTCCATCTTGGACCTCGGATTCTAGCGATGGTGCTTATTTGTAGAGGTGGAGGCTGGACCACAGTAGGCCCGACTCTAAAGAGGGTCTGCCCCAGCCTGCTGCGTGTCACAGCCCCATGGGACCCCCACCTGTGGAGAGACGCCCCCTTACCCTGCAGGTTTCCCTGCAGCCTATGCGCCCCGTGGTCCAGGCAGAGTTCAGAAGTCCTCACCTGCTGCTGTGGTGGTGCTCCCAGCTCTGTCCAGACAGACATCCAGGCGTGACAGTTCTCGGGCCTGGGACAGACCACATCATAGGCAAGGGATCCACAGGGTAAGCTGAGGTCCCCGCTACCTCAACTCTGGGTCCCACTGAGCCTCAACCAAACCCACCGCACACAGAACAAGGGGTTCTGAATGGACTGCACAGGAAACCCTTCACCCATCTCTGACCTGC